CTCTCGGGATCTTGGGCACGCACACACACGCACCCGGCGTGAGTTTAAGCCACCAGGTTCGGGACTTGAACCGCGGTCGACTATGTGGGAGTCCAGCGACATAGCCATTACACTAACTGCTGGTCCCAGTCATAGCTACTTTGTGCTGAAAACTCGGTGACGCTGAGATGGACAGATGTATGGTGAGAAAGATGGTGGCACAGAGGGACGGTCAACAATTCTGCAGAATAAAGATCTTGCTGCTTGCTTGTCTTTCACAAAACATTACAAAAAGAAGACGTCTTGCTCGTTGCAAAAAAAGAATCAACTTTTTTTTTTTTTAGGAGTTTTTGCTATAGGGCGCGTGCATTCACCAGAAAGAGAGAGAGAGACAGAGAGACAGAAAGCGAGAAATCACCCCCCAAGGGGAATGGCCACACCACAATCCCTTCTCCATTCTCCTCTAGGGATCTTGGGCATGCATGCACACGCACCCAGCGTGAGTTTAAGCCACCAGGTCCGAGACTCAAACTGCAGTCAGCTATATGAGTCCAGCAACATAGCCATTACGTTAACTGCTGGTCCCAAGAATCAACTATTTCAAAAGGGCATACGAATATTGTGAAAGTTCACTCTTAGCACTTCCCGTCTGTCCACACCAGCTCCTGCATCTCAGGTGTAACCATTTTTAGCCTCCTCCTTTACCTCTTTTGTGTTTTCCCTTAGGAACTGCTATTTGGCCATGGATTTAGGGGAGCAATTGGGAGGAAGGGTTAGATATATGCAAAAGCTCCCAGGCCCTGCTCCAGGGTGGTCACTGGGAAGGGAAGCAGGAGAGACCACACCATGTGTGCCTGTAATCAAACAGGTAGATGACTGGAGAGTATGATAAGATTTTCCTATCTGCCTTGATCCCAGCCCACATGAGCAGTGTCCTTTGTTAACTCCTGTCCCTTGGGTATAACCTTTTCCTTTATAAAGTGGAATAGAAAACCTAAGAAAAGGTTAGAAAATCTCCCCATTCGGCAGGTTACTTGTGGAGCTCTCCTTGCACCTTTTATTCATCTTGCTTTCAGACGGTGGTTTGAAATAACATCCGTTGCTTGAAGGGCCATACCCAGTCCTGGTTAACGGAATGTCATCAAAGTCATGCTTAAGACAGATGCCAAGACTTGAGTAGAATTTGTAGTGTGAAAGGGGACCCTTTCCTTATTATCAAAAAATCTTTTGGAGGGTAAATGATCTAATTGTTCACATTCTAAGTGTTAAGAAAATGGCTGTTATGAATGCGAGAGACCATAACCAAACTGGTTGGACCTTTAGAGAAAAAAAAATTTTTTTCCTCTTCTCTTTGAGAGATGCAAATGCCTATGGAATGGATAGGCCACTTTAGAACCAGTAGGTCACAGCCTCCTGTTAAGTAAAGGAAGAAAATTTAAGACATTTGAAGTAAAAATATTTCATTTTCTTAAGAAACTCTGTCTTTTAAGTTTTAAAAACCAATCACCTATCTGACTATTTTAGTATCATTTTCCATAGGAAATCTTTTTATCCAAGAGTTTTAAATTTCCCTCACTTGTATGTCTACATAGTAGAGACTTACTATCATGTGAGCTATTCAAATCACAAAATTTTGTATGAGAAATATTTGTCTTGGATCTAGTCCAGAAAGATTTCTTTCAAAGAAGTGTCCTAAAAAAGCAAGCCTCATTTCTGGACCCCAAGGACATAATTACATAGTAAGATTCCATGTGGTTGGTGATAATAATGGGTGTTATGCAGGGTGGGGGAGCAGCTGCTATATTGTATTCTCTATCCCTGTGTAACAAATTACTCCAAAACTTAACCTTAAGACAACAAACATACAATATTTTACACAGTTTCCGAAGGTCAGGAACCCAGGAGCAGTTCAGTTAGGTTATTCTGGCTCAAGGTGTCTCCTAATTTCACAGTCACTTCAAGGTTTGGCTGGGACCAGAGGATCTACTTCCACACGGTCACTGGCAGGAGGCCTCAGTTCCTCACAAGATGGTGGCCAGAGCCTTTTGCTACTCACCATTTCCATAGATTTCTCAAATCTCCTCACAACACAGCTTCCTCCATAGTAGGTGATCCAAGAGAGAAAGCATACCCCAAATGAAGCCAAGCTTTTTATAACTGAATCTTGCAAGTGACATCCCATCACTTCTGCCACATTTTATTCGTAAGAACCAAGCCCAGACTACACTTCGGCAGAAGAAACTTAAGTTCTCTCTTGAAGTGAGGCATATCAAAGAATTTGTGCACCTCTTTTTTCTTTAGACAGGGTCTTGCTATGTCACAATCCTTCTGCCTCAGTTTCCTGAGTAGTTGGGACTAGAGGCACATGTCACTACACCTGGCTGTTTCACAGGGTCTTGCCATGCTAGTTCATGCTGGCTGTTAACTTGCAGCCTTCAGCTGTGTGCCACCACCCCCAGCTTTTTAAGATGGGCCTGAAAACAAACCTGGGTTTCCTATGGACATATTTTTAAAACAATCATATGATACCAACTAGCCATATGTAGTCTCTTATCTGCTCTTTGATCTATATCAGCTCTTTTCTGCAAAGGACTGGGAAGAGCAAAGAATTTAGGTATTATGGACCAGGCACTTTTTGTGCAACTGCTTAACTCTGTCATTGTACTACAAGACAGCTATAGGCAATATATAAATAAATGTGGCTTTGTTTCAGCAAAACTTTATGTACAGAGCTGGGCAATGGGCTGGACTTGACCTGGGGCCGTCATTTGTTGACCTCTGGTTTTAGCTACAGAGGTTATTAGAAGTCGAGAATACTTAGTGATGTTTCCTTGCTATCAGAATCTTAGTTCAAAGATATCCATTTCGATGGTATGGCTGCGTCTGCCAGCATCCTGTCTCTGCAGCTTGAAATTTTGTGTTGAGATAACAGATAGAAAAGCAAATTTGAGGGTTTAGAGGGCAAAACGTCAGGACGCAGACAGTCCTTATCTTTGAAATAGGAAGAACACAACTGTAAAATGAAGGAGAGGGGCTTGGCACAACTAAGGTAAATCAGTGTCTTCATTCTTTTTAGCTACTGAGGTTGATTTGAGGCAGTATGTCTGAGAAGACATGCTCTTTAAGCAACTGCAACTGTAGGGGACAGTAGGTGGTATAGTGGTTAAGACGTTGGATTTCCACATGCCCAACTGTAGTTCAAGTGCTGGGCCAGGGGCTTAAAAATCATGCTGGTACATACGCATGTGTGCCCAAATTCCCAAGAGGAGTGGAGGAGAAGGGACTGTGCTATGGCCACCCCCGTTAAGGGATGATTTCTCACTTTCCCTCTCT